ACTGGCTGCCGAGATAGGTCGATCTTCCACTCAGCCATCGATATACTCGTAAGTATGTACATATGTATGTTATTTGAAAGGAGTTTTTGCTGAATGCCTTTGCAAATATAATGCGTGCAATAAGACTCAAAGANGAAAATTTAGTTGCAGCTGCTGCTATTGAATGCATGTTGGAGTGTATATATACTCGTAAGTATGTACATATGTATGTTATTTGAAAGGATTTTTTGCTGAATGCCTTTGCAAATATAATGCGTGCAATAAGACTCAAAGAACAACCTAAAATAAGAGTCCGAATGTAGTAATTTATGAGGCCGATAAGAGCCTCAAAAATAGTCTGAAATGGTTCATATATGGTGAGGCCAAAAATTGTTTTAAAAATAGTCCAAAATGAGCCGTATATGAGGCCAGTAAGAGCCCAATATGACTCATATTGTGGCTCATATGATGAATTTAAGCTCATATAAGTCGACCTTCGGAGGAAGGAAAACACCCTCATATCGGACTCTTAAATAAGCTCATTATGCACGTAATGGCTCCGAAATTGGACTCCTTAAAGACTCCAAATGTTTGCCGCGAACAAAATTGTTCACAATTGTTGTTTTAAAATTATATTGATGGCAAACGTCAGACTGCCTCTCAATGGTTTTACCTTGTTATGTTTTTATCATGGTACGTACGTACGTTTGGGTAATGCCATACATATTGGCGATGGCAAATCGAAAAAAAATTATTGTTGTGTAGCACATCACTCATTCGCCATGTCGTACTTTAAAGTAACCTCTGCAAATGTTAAAGCATTGATGTTTTCGTTATGTAGTTATACTAGAAAATAGTATGTATTCTAATAATGATACATGTTTTTCGTTAAAACTCAACTTTATACCATAGCAAAATGGAGAGATGATGCCACACATATGCCTACACACGAAGCTCTAAGCATATGCATGTAAGCACGCTCTTGTCCTTGGCCTTATTCATCTGAACGACTACATACGGATGTCTATGCATCATTGTCGTAAAAATAACTGCAAACATTGCTGATAGTGCGCGTGTGTGTAAGTGCGCGTGTATTTACGTATGCCACCAATAAATGCTTTATGCTTTCGCAGGCACAACGGCTCTAGCGCACAAACTCGCGCACACACACAAATACAGTACATATAGGCATATAAGGAAAATTAAAAAAGTCGACTAAATATGTATGCAAATTAGATATTCATACAAAGCAGTACTCACTCTTCAATTAGCGCATTATCTGCCACTGCTGTTGTCGCCGTTGACTGGCTGCTGGATGTATCTTTGATCAATGTCACCGCGGTACCAATGCCACGCGCCACCACACCGACATCTCCTTCCAAGTCAAAGCATTGCGTATAACCAATAACGGCATTCGCGCCCATATTAATGNCTGCTGGTTGTATCTTTGATCAATGTCACCGCGGTACCAATGCCACGCGCCACCACACCGACATCTCCTTCCAAGTCAAAGCATTGCGTATAACCAATAACGGCATTCGCGCCCATATTAATGGCCTTGAGACCCATTTTTCGTTGTACCTTTTTGAGATGGTGAAAGATAAGGAAGAACAAAATGCAATGAGCTTACAAGACAAGCAAAATATGTAATTATACAGAAAACACTTACTTGTCCCGACAATTTCAGAAACACAACCTGTCTGGCTTCATTAGAAGCGCGTGGTGTACGAATCTTATCTATCCATTGATATTCGGGATCATCGTTGACCACAAGCTCCTCAACGAAACCGTGTATCATCTGCGCGCGATAGCCAAATGGTATACATTGTGCTATAAATCGAATGCAATTTTCNGAAGCGCGTGGTGTACGAATCTTATCTATCCATTGATATTCGGGATCATCGTTGACCACAAGCTCCTCAACGAAACCGTGTATCATCTGCGCGCGATAGCCAAATGGTATACATTGTGCTATAAATCGAATGCAATTTTCATTAATATATATATCTAAAAAAAAAAAAAGAATTGTAACATCTTACAGTGGAAGAATGGTATGCCACAGGAACTCTGCCTGAATTTGTTTAAATCAGAAAATAGATCTACTTTGACAATCACATTGACTTCACCACGTATACCATGCATTGTATCGAAAACTGGTATCCAACCAGATAGCACTGTCCCCTTTCCATGCGAAGTCGATCCAGACATTTCCAAGCATAATGGATTCAAGCTTATATTCACTTTGCCAATAGCATCGTTTGCAGAATATGTGTCATAATCCATCAAACGTATTTGCAATGGTTCATCTTGCAGCTCGGCATCGTCCACCTCAAACCGAAACCTGGACAAACAAAAGCGCAAGTAAACAATTGAGTATGCATTAAAATATACATATGTATGTATAGAAATACTATGTAGATAAGTTATACTTTTGTGTACACTCTCATACATGTTACAATGCAAGAATACCACCGTTTAGTTAAGGAATGCAAGAATTTATTTCTAGCTTGATACCAAACATTTACGTAAACGTCTATGCCCATGTTATCTTCAGCTTATTATCGCTACACATTCTCTGATAGCATTTCAATAACATGATTTAAAATCAAGTTTTTCCAATTAAATGTACCCCAAAAAAGATATTCATATGTAGCCATCAAGCC